GTGCCCTGGCCTTTGCCTTCAGCTTGGCCTTTTGCTGCTCCCTTCTTGCATTCACCTGCTGTGCCTTTGTGCCCAAGTGCTGCAGGGCCTTCTTCTGCCCCTCCTGCAGCCCCCCTCAGTGCCTGTGGGTGCTTGTCTTGCTTTACAAGAGAGGTGTCTGCCCAGGAAGGCAGAAAAAGCCTCTCTTGGAATGAAGAATGCAAACCGCCTCCCTCTTAATTTCTAGATTAGTGAAATCAAGGGACTCTCAGGCAAAGATATGGGAATAGGAATAACAGTTCTTTACTAGTGTGTATAATAAAGCAAACAAACACCAACAGCTGCGGCACTGAGAGCAAACAGAGCCCGGACCCAGTCCCGGCCTTTGGGCTGTGGCGCTTTGCCCTTGGGTGCAGTTCCGGGCATGGTCGGCAGGGGCGCTGGTGGCTCGGGCGGGGCAGCGCATCCCTCCCATGGGAACCTCTCTGAACAGAAATAGAGCAATCCCTTCATCTAACTCTTTCACTTTTTTACCTTCTATAGCCTTTCTCCTGTGTTTTGAGAAAGAATTTGGAGAGGGCTGCCTTTTAACTGAGCTCCTAGTGTTTCAATAAGGTGCTTCCTGTAGAGAGAGAGAGTTTCCCTGAACAGACGGAGATGTGGTTACCAAGGGGACGTAACTCAGAGCAGGACAGGGTCAGGGGAGGATATCCCGCCGAGGCTCGGTCAGAGTGTGAGCAGGGTCTGCTGCCGGAATCGCCAGAGGGGGATCTTCCCGTGGAGTCCGAGGCGGAGCATGGGTAGCCCCCACATGGCTGATGGCGGCTGATCTGGCAGCTCCCGGCAGAGCAAAGGCAGGTGGGAGAGCCCGGCAGCAGCGGCGGTGCCCAGCGCAGGTGGCACGGGCAGGGCAGCCGGGGATGGGATGGCTGGGACTCCCCCTGGGTGCAGTGGGCACGGTGACCTCGGAGCAGGCGGCAGGAGAGAGCAACCCCCATCTTCCCCAGCATGGCCGGCAGAGCGGCTGCGGGCCAGGCAGTTGGAGCAGGGCAAACAAATTGAGCGATAGCGCCGGGGCAGGTGGAGCTGCCCTGGGCAGTGAGGCCGCACCTGGGATGGAAACCGGGGCAGGCGGAGCTGAGGCGGGCAGTGAGCCGGGACCCGGGACAGGCGCCTGGGCCGCGAACGGAGGGGGCAAGACCTGCAGAGGATCCCACTCTCTTTCTGATTTTTCCTTTTGTTCCTCTGCCTTTCATTTCCCTTTGTCTTTTCTTGTTTTTTTCTCAGAGGTTTCTCATCCTTTAAAGATTTTTATTCTTCTAAAATCTCCTGTCTAGCATATGGCATATTCTCTTTCTTTTAGATTAAATGGGTTTTTTTACAAATAAATCCAGAGCCTAGCAAATCTAAACTTCTGCTTGGATACTTTGAAATGGCCGATGAGCTAAGTCATGACCTCCTAATGTTGTTTTTCTCATCACTTTTTCATTTATCCTTTGGCAAATTAAGCATCTTTCAGTTACTTGCTTTGCAAATCCAAAAATCCCAATGCACCCATAGTTCCTTAATAAATGATCGCACAAAGCTTGAGTGCCCCAGTGGGTTTTTTGATGCATGTCTTCTAATATTTTCCTAGAAGCACATTTTATTAAGTAATTGTCTTTCATCATGAAGTTTCCATTTCCCTGATTTATCTTGTTCATTTCCTGTCTTGTTTAATTCTTTTTTCTTGGCTTTCCAAAACTTTGGAATTTGTGGGTTTTCCTCATTTGAAGTTAATATTAACATAACTCTTTCAGCTCCATTTTCTGCTGCATCCTTAGCTTTGTGATCTACCAAATTATTTCCTCTTCTTTCTGGTGTCTTTCCCTTTTGGAGTTCCATAATATGTACTATAGCTATCTCTTTTAGGTAATTGTAATGCCTCTAAAACCTCTAAAATAAGTTCCTCATGTACTAGTCCTTTTCTTCATGAATTAAGCAATCTTTTTCCTTTCCAAATTTTTTACAGGTGTGTACTACTCTAAAGGCATACCTTGAATCAGTATATATAGTTCCTTTATTTTGTGTTTAATATTCTAGTGCTCTTTTTAAAGTATATCATTCACAAGTTTGAGATTACTAGTTTAAGGTTAATTTCCCTTTTTCCATAGTTTGCACGTTTTTCCCATCAACTACTACATACCCTGTATTTTCTCCTTTTGTAAGGAGGTGTATCTCTGTTAACTAACATAACTCCCAAAGGATTATTTCTTTTTTTTTTTTTTCCCTGTATGCAACTTACTGGTTTTCTGTCTCATTTTCAAGATCTTATCTATTAATCTTCTTCCTCTGTTTTTCACATTCACTAACAACGTAAATACCACTTTTCTTTCAACTACACACAGAAAAATAAAAAACTTTTTTCTCACACTACTTTCAGTACAATACACCTCCCTCCAAGGAGATATAGTGAAGCTTAAAATACAGAATCTACATTACCTATATTTTCATTCATATACATTCACTCACTTTTATTTCTCACTCACTTCCACACATTCTTTCCCACACTCAGGACACAGAGTGGATCCCTGTTGACAGAGAATCGCGGGTCCCTATGGCCCCCCCTCGCCTTGGGGTTGGCCTCTGGGTCTCAGTATCTCCGGGCCTCCTGGAGGGCCCTGACTCTGCTGCCTCGGGTGCCGTTCACCTGTGAGGCTGATTTGTGTGTCACTCACACTCTTTAGCCACGGCCCCCTCACACGCCCTGGGGACAATGGCCCCTTTGCAGGTCACCTGTACCTTATGCCACAGCCCCCACACGCCCAGGAGAACAATGGCTTATTTGTGGGTCACACACTCCTCTTTCCACAGCCACCCTTCCCACCCGCCTGGGAAGCTGAGGCTGATTTTGTGTGTGACTCACTCTCACACACAACAAGACAACAATAAGGTATCTTTTGTTATAAATGATCAAATCGAGAGCCAAACTTATAGGAAAATTTAGCAAAGATTTATTAATTTGTCTGCAAGACAGAAGTTCGGTCATCTACGCTACCACAGCCAAGGGTCAGCATCGAGCCCGGGTTCAGTGCTGGGTGAACACGGATCTGAGCTCCGAATGTCAGAGTCTCCCCCTGTTCACAAATGCTGCCTGACGCAGCGAGTTCTTTTACAGTTTATTCTGCCCGAGGCAGAGATGACCGAATGTTCTAGCAGGTTTTAATTCTGGATGCTCTTGGGCTCTCTTATCCCTCAAACCAGCAGATTTTTTAGGAGCCCCTTTTGTCCCGTTTCCTAGTGGATTGGGCTCAGAAACTCCTCTGCTCCCTTCCTCGGAGGGTCCAGCCCCTCTCTGAGACCCAGTCCCAGTTACCCGGGGGATTCTCTCACTCTTCTTATCACTCGCTGTGTCTCTTTACTGGCTGCTTCCCTCGAGGAAAGTTGGAAACGCAGCGTGGCAGACTCCAGCACTCACTTGGCAGGTCTGGGAGAACCAGTCCTTGTCTCATTCACAGGCGAAAGCAGGGAATGAGGGGAGAAGGGAGCCCAGGAGCCCAAACAGCCCCAGCATCCCGAAATGGGGAGAGTGAAGTGGGGGGAGCTTTTGGCATTGCTGGGACTGCCAGCAGCCTGGGCAGGGTGGGCACCGGGCACAAGGGGGACCCCCAATCCAAGCGTGACCCCGAGCAGCTGGGACAGGGGGGAATCCCTGAACACCAGAGGGGAGGGACCAGGGACGGGGAACTCCTGGGAGGCTTTTTCAGGGCTGAATCTGGGTGTTTGGGAGGTTTTTCTGGAGCCCTGATGGCCAGTGATTGTAGAGATGGACTTGGGCAGAGCAACCTTCAAACTCAGTGTGTGTTGGGGAAGATGAAACAGGAAAGCCTTATAAATGCGATTGTCTGGCAAAAGATTTTGTGAACATAAAAAGTATAAGGAAGATTGAAATGAAAGCAAGCTTTGAGATACCTCAGTTATTGAACAACTGGAAAACAATGGTGTGGCCCAACTGAAGGTAATCCCCTTTTGATGAAACAATTCCCTCTGCTTGCAGACAGATCCAAGGGTCAGAGCAGACCCCACTACCTCAATAGAAAGGGTCCAAAGAGGAGTTTTTAGGGTTTAAAATGTAACACAGTATGGTGATATAATGATTTTTACAGGCTGTATGTAAATGCTGTAGGATTTGCATCTGGTACCAGATTGGTTAGTGAGAAATAGAATATTCAACAAAGAAGAAAATTTATTGTATTGTAACGGGACCCTTCCTCTCTTACACTCTTCTCCTCTTACTCTCTTACCCTCTCACCCTCTCTACCCCTCTCTTCTCTCGGCCCTGCTCCGAGCTGTGCCTGGCGGCTCCATCAGGGCCCTGCACCCAGGCCCTTTGCAATAAACCGCAACTTCCACGACCTGGCTGCAGAGCTCTCTCGTCTCCGTCCATCCCAACCGTCCTACCCCCCGACACTCCTACAAACGCGCTCATCCCTTGTTTTCCCCAAACCAGGATTTCCCATTGCCAAGGCCTGGGAGGCTGCGAAGAAGAGGAAGATGCCCGGGGACACTGAGGCAGGTGAGGAGGAAGTCAGTGCCCCTTTCCCCTCTGTGCTGCTCCATCTCCCAGCCCAGCACGGCCCCGGCTGCAGCTCAGCCCTGGGGGGATCTCCTTGCCCTTGCCTGTGGCACGGAGGCAAATCCCATCCTGTCCTTGTCCTTCCTCCCCCAGAGCAGGAGCTGAGCATGGAGAGCAGGGAGGACAAATGCCCGCGGCAGAACCTCGTGGCAGTGGCCGTTTTGAGCGGCTCCACGGCGCAGGAAGCCAACGGGGAGGAAAAGCCCCGGAGATGCCGCACGAGGAGGGGCTGCAAACGCAGCCGGCGGGGATCTGAGGGGGAAGCAGCCAGCCTGGACCAGGAAGGCAGCCGGAGATGGAGCCAGAGCTGGGAGCTGGTGCTCCATGAGCAGCTCCATGATGGGGAGAAACACCACACATGTGGGGAGTGTAGGAAGTGCTTCAGGTGGAAAGGCGACCTGATCAGGCACCAGAGGATCCACACTGGGGAACGGCCCTATGAGTGTGGGGAGTGTGGGAAGAGCTTCAGCCAGAGCTCCAACCTGAACCAGCACCAGAGGATCCACACTGGAGAAAGGCCGTACAAGTGTTCCGAGTGTGGGATGTGCTTCAGCCGGAGCTCCAGCCTGATCACGCACAAGAGGACCCACACTGGGGAGAGGCCCTATGAGTGTGATAAATGCAGGAAGAGGTTTCAGACCAGCTCCTGTCTCCTCCGGCACTATCGGATTCACAGAGAGGAGAGGCCCTTCCGCTGCCCCGACTGCGGGAAGGGATTCAAGCACAACTGCAACCTCATCAGACACCGGCGCATCCACACAGGGGAGAGGCCCTACGAGTGTCCCCGGTGTGGGAAGAGCTTCTCCAGCAGCTCTGACTTGACCCAACACCAACGGAGGCACCAGTAAGGGAAGCCCTGTGAGTGCCCCGAGTGCGGGCAGAGCTTCGTGCGCTGCTCCAGCTCCATCCGCCACTTTGGGCACAGCCCTGGTCACTCCCATTCCCTGTGATCCATGTTGAGAACACAGCTGGCTGCTTCTACTTTTAATTTCACCTTAATTTTTTTCTATTCTCCATCTCTTTGCACTGCAGAAGCCAAGAGGAATGGATCTGTCACCTCAAAACCACTGAAATCCCAGTGAAAACAGCTCAATCTTACCCCAAAAAGAGCTCAAACCCACCTCAAAAAACTCAGTCCCACGCCAAACTCACTCGATTCCGCAGCCATCAGGCTGAGATGAGGTTGGGAGGTGATTTAGAGTCGTGGGATCTCAGTTAGAGTGGTGGGATGGAGATTGTGTGGGGCTGGGTGTGTCGGATGTATTTGACAGCAAATAAAATTCTGAGACTTACTGATTTCTCTCCCGTTCATGTTCAGTCTGTTGCAGTTCTGTTTGCAGAGTGCTGCCTTCTCAGCTCATTGTCTTGGTGTCCCCTTTTCTCTCCCGCCACTCTTTGCTGTCTCTGTTTCTCTCTCAGTGTCTCCATGGATCCAGGGACCACCAGAGACCCTCCCTATATTTAATTGCCTCAGGGACCACCCAATACTCTCCCCTGATTTATTGCCCCAGTGACCACCAAAGACCCTCCCCTGATTAAATTGCCCCCTCCCCTAATTTAATTGACCCCTGCCACCAAAGACCCTCCCCAGATTTTGTTGACCTTTCCCTGATTTAATTGACCCCTCCCCTGAATTGACCCCTCCCCTGATTTAATTTACCCTTTCCCTGTTTTAATTCCCCTTCCCCTGATTTAATTGACCCCTGCCCTGATTTAGCTGTCTCATTCCCTGATTTAATTGACCCTGCCCTGATTTAATTGACCCCTGCCCTGATTTAGATGACCCCTCTAGGGTCCCCACAGACCCTCCCCTGATTATTTATTATTTTATTTCCCAATTAGTATTTCAATTCCCAGTCCCAGGAGCTGAAGTCCTGAAGGCTGGTAGGGAAATGTCTCTGTAGGATTTTGCTCCATTTCCCTTCAAGGGCAGGAACATCTTTTCCTGAATGGGAGCTGGAACTGCAGACTTTTGGAATGTGTGCAGGGCAACACGGACTGGGATCAAACATGGACTAGGATCAGATAGGGGTTGGGATCAAATATGGACTGGGATCAAACAGGGACTGGGATCAAAGAGGGACTGGGATCAAATAGGGACTGGGATCAACTATTCACTGGGATCAAATATGCACTGGGGTCAAATATGGACTGGGATCAATTATTGATTGGAATCCTACAATGTAGGATAAACTGGACTGAGGTTATATAGACTGGGATCAAATATGGGCTGGGATCAAATATGTAATTAGGATAAAAAATGGACTGGGATCAAATATGGACTAAAATCAACTATGGACTGGGATAAACTGGACTGGGATCAAATCAGGACAGGGATCGACTTTGGACTGGGATCAAATATGGCCTGGATCAAAAATGACAGATTTTATGGACTGGGATCAAATATGGACTAGGATAAGCTATGTACAGGGATTAAATATGGACTGGCATCAAATTTGGATTTGGATCAAATGGACTGGGTTCCTGCAGACTGGGATAAACTGGACTGAGATTATATAGATGTCGTGGTTTGAGAGGAAGTTAGTTTTCTGGGATATGAAGTGGTCAGGCCAATAGGTGCTCACATTTGAATACTGGCACCTGGTTTGGCCACTGGGGACATTGGATACGCCTCTGAGAACTCAGGGGTTAAAAAGCAGAGCACTCCCGGGGGAAGCTCTCTTGGGTTCCAGCGAGGGAAGCAGGTCGGGCCTCCCCTGCCCAGCTCCTGGCTGGTTTGGGGCTGGGTGAGGTAGGCCTGGCCCGAGGATGGAAGGGTGGAAGAGCCCCGAGAGGCATCGGGCAGCCACACCTCCCCCCCAGGAGAGAGAGAGACAGAGCGCCTGTGCCACCGTGAAATTTGATATCCTGTGCTGGCAGCACAGCCCGGCTGGGGGAGAAGGGCGGGGGGGATGCAGCGAGAAGGGGTCCAGCCACTGTGAGAGCTTTGGGTGGGCAGAGCCCGAGCTTTTAACCCTTTTTCGGACAAGGAAAGCTTTGCAGAACATTAACCTTTCCTAGAAGAGAGATAAGAGATGAAATGGAGGAAGGAAATGTGCAAGTGTGAAGGTCTGGGCAAGTGAAAGATGTCAGGAGAGTAGAGAAGAATCTTAGGTGGGAAGAGATGATGGAGTGGCCTTAGCTGGACTTTTCTTGTGTAGCCATGGACAGAACCATGTTTCCTGTGACACAGAGACTGCATCCAGGGGGAGGCAATGGCTCAGAGCCAAGAGGGTTCAGTGTTGGTACCCCTTGGCCCCAGGGGGTGAAATTTGGGGGGCACAGGTGTCCCAAAGGTGAGACTGTGCCCTTTTTGGAAGGACAACCCTAGAAGCAGCTCTGGTCCATGTGCAGTGGTGAGAGCACTGGGCATGGAAGGAAGATGTCACGATGGCAGATGTTCTCCAGGCGGTGCCACGAGTGACGTGGAAACACACGAGGTTTCAGCGGTGTTTCCTGGGGAGGCCTATGGCACAAGAAGGACTCCTCTCCCCTTGATGAACTGAGAATTGATTACCTAAAGGGTGGTGATGGACCGAGAGTTGGTGATTTGGAGGATAGATGTATTGGAAATCTGGTGGGAGGGGGAGGAAATGTTTTTGGAAAGTTTTCATTTTCCCTGTGTGTTTCTTGTTACTTAGAGTTGTAGTTTAGTTAATAAAGGTTTCATTTCTTTATTTCTAAGTGGGGGCCTGCTTTGCTTATTCCTGGTGACATCTCACAGCAGACACCAGGGAGCACATATTTTCATGGGGACACTGGCATTGTGCCAGCATCAAACCATGACACCTACACTGCCAGTTGGCCTTTTTCCACCTCTCCAGCCATCCCCACAGAGCATTGGCTACCATCCATGAATCAGTGTAGAGGTGGAGCTTTGGCCATTTCTCTCCCTTAGCATTGTCCAGGCCCAGCTGAACGGCTTTGAGTTCTGTAAGTTGACTTGATCCACCTTCTCCTTCAGCAGCCTCTGCAACCTGTCATGTGGGGCTCCATACGGCTGCTTTCCACTTCTGGTCCATCCCTGCGATGTGACAGGAACCGTCAGTGAAAAGAGCATAGCGCATTTCCTCTGGGGGCAGTTGGTTATAGGGAGGAGCCTCTTCAGCCCATGTCACTGGTTCTTGTTGCTCTTCATCAGTAAGACCAAAGTTCTCACCTTCCAGCCAGTTTGTAATTATCTCCAAAATCCCAGGGAGATTCAGGTTTCCAATACAGGCGCACTGTGGGATAAGAGCAATCCATTTACTCCATGTAGCGTCAGTGGTGTGGTGGGGGGTGGGAACCTTTCCTTTGAACATCCACCCCAGCACCGGTAGTCGGGGTGCCAGGAGGAGTTGTGCTTCTGTGCCAATCACCTCTGAGGCAGCTTGGACTCCTTCATAGGCAGCCAAGATTTCCTTCTCTGTGGGAGTGTAGTTGGCTTCTCACCCTCTGTAGCTTCGACTCCAAAATCCCAGTGGTCGGCCTCGAGTCTCCCCAGGCACCTTCTGCCAAAGGCTCCAGGACAAGCCATGGTTCCCGGCTGCAGAGTAGAGCACGTTCTTCACCTCTGGTCCTGTCCTGACTGGGCCAAGGGCAACTGCATGAGCAATCTCCTGCTTGATCTGGGCAAAGGCTTGTTGCTGCTCAGGGCCCCAGTGGAACTCGTTCTTCTTGCAGGTGACCAGGCAAAGAGGGCTCACGATCTGACTGTACTCAGGAAGGTGCATTCTCCAAAAGCCTATGGCACCTAGGAAAGCTTGTGTTTCTTTCTTATTGGTGGGTGGAGACATCACTGTGATCTTGTTGATTACGTCTGTAGGAATCTGATGCCGTCCATTAATAAGGCCTCCGATCAGCCTTATCATGAAGCAGAGCCTTGGTGCTCAGGATCTCAGTCCCTGAGGAGGGACCGGGTGCCCGAAGCCAGCTCAGGCCAATGCCGCGGGGCTACCTTTCCAGCAAGCCTGGTGATATTCAGCTCTATAGTGATTAGCAGCTCTTAGGACCTCAGCTCTTTGCTTGCTGGGTAGTGGAGCCCCGGGCTTGAGGCAGCAGCAGACGGAGAGAGGAGAAGGAGAAAGCAGAAGCTGTTCCACAGAGAAGGCTTTATCTGGGGGTCCGCAAAGGGTCTCAGCTCTTCTTCTTCTGAGCTAGTAGGGTACAGCATGCTACTTTTATAGGCTTGGCAAGTATCCAAACTTGACCAATGGCAAGGGATTAGGGGGACCATAAAATGACCGATAGGTAAAGGCTACCATGGCATTGCCTCACATGGTTATAGGGATAGGTTATAGGGCAGATGTCCATGAGTCAGGAAGCTTCCTTGCTGCTGTGCCAGCATTCCTTTTGTTAGATTCTCCATGGTGCTTTTGCTAAATGTAGGGGGTTTACTACAGTCCATCTTGCCACTTCACTGCCAGGAACTGAATCTCACAAGCTGGTCCCTTTACCTTGACTTTCTAATGGCAAAACCAGCTCCCAGGAGGATTTGGATGATTTCCTTCCCTTTCTCAAACACTTCCGCAGCTGTGTTCCCCTCACACAATGATGTCATCAATATACTGCAGATGTTCTGGAGCCTCACCCCTTTCTAGTGCAGTCTGGATCAGTCCATGGCAGATGGTGGGACTGTGCTTCCACCCCTGGGGCAGTCGGTTCCAGGTGTACTGCACTCCCCTCCATGTGAAAGCAAACTGAGGCCTGCATTCTGCTGCCAGAGGAATGGAGAAAAATGCATTGGCAATGTCTATAGTGGCAAAGCACTTTGCTGCCTTGGACTCCAGCTCGAACTGGAGCTCTAATATGTCTGGCATGGCAGCGCTCGGTGGTGGAGTCACTTCATTCAATGCACGGTAGTCCACAGTCAATCTCCATTCTCCTTCAGATTTTCGCTCAGGCCAAATGGGGCTGTTGAACGGTGAGTGGGTCTTGCTGACCACCCCTTGGCTCTCCAGCTCTTGGATCATCTTTTGGATGGGGATCACAGCGTCTCGAGTGGTTCTATACTGTCGTCGATGCACTATGGAAGTGGCAATTGGCACCTCTTGCTCTTCTCCCTTCTGAAGTCCTACTGCACATGGGTTTTCTGACAGTCCAGGCAAGCTGTTCAACTGCTTGACACCCTCTGTCTCTACAGCAGCTATTCCAAATGCCCATCTGAGTCCCTTTGGGTCTTTGAAATACCCACGTCGGAGGAAGTCTATACCTAAAATGCATGGGGCTTCTAGGCCAGTCACAATAGGGTGTTTCTTCCACTCATTTCCAGTCAGGCTCACCTCATTTTCCCCCAAAGTAAAATCCTGTGATCCTGATCCCCCTGTCACACCAGCAATAGAAACAGACCCCGTCCCCACATGGAATCCTTCCGTAAGCCACAAAGGTCCTTCAGGGAAAAGGACTCAATATTTGCATCTGATCTTGCACCTGCTGCTTTGACTCCTGATTTTATGTCAGGAGGCATTGAGGTTCCTTCTCCTTCATCATCATCATCCTCATCATCCACTGGTCGATTGGTCTTGTCCGTGCATTTCCCACTTCTAGTACTGGCAGCAACAGCCATTGGTTGAGGCTTATTTTCTGGTTTAGCTGCTGGCTTAGGCTCACTATCTGGTTTGGCTGCTGGCTTCGAGCCTGGGCTGTTGGCTGCAGCCTGAGTCACCGGGATAGTTGCTGATTTATCTCCCTGCCCCCCTGCCTCTGTCTGCTGCCGGACAGGATCCAGCAGTGAGCGATGAGCACAAGCCAGGGCCCAGCTGACTGCAATGACCTTCCTCTCCTTAGGCTCATCCTGGGACTTCTCTTTCAGATATTTCCCCACCTCAGCTGGGTTCTGAATTTGTTCATGGGGAAAATCCCAGACTATAGGGTCAGAGAATTCCTTCAGGATTTGGCCCATATCCTCCCATTTCCCACACCACTTAGGATTTTCCACACCGGGGTCTACTCCTGAGTCAGGGGTCTCATCAGCCCGTCTAGAAATCTCAGCCCTCATCCTAGAGAAGCAGCAGTCTGTATAGACAAAGGTTACCAGATTGAATACCAGGAAGATGGTTTCTTTAACATTGAGGGGAAACTGAACATCCTTCAATAGTGATGCAACTGATACATAGGAGAAGAAGGAAAGCAGAGGCTGAAAGCCCTCATTCCCTCCTGCTCCTCCTGCAACAAACTGGATGCATAACCATAGCCACGAACCATTCATACCTGGAGCAGACCCCAGCATGTTTATAAACTTTTTACACATCATTACCACCAAGCCCAGCAGGATAGCTACTCTGGTCACTGCCCCTCGGCTATAAAAACTACATATTAGGGACAATACTAAAGCTATTTCTGGGTAAGAAAATAAACCTAGGGACCATAGAGGTATTAAAATCTCAAAAAACCTTAGGGACCAGAAATGCATGCAAGTCTTCACCCCAACAGACATTATGAATTCAAAAAGCATGGCTATTAGCTGATTTAAATGAACACAGAGTAATAGCAACCAAAATGCAGTCAGGATGGGCGCTAAATTTTGTCCTGGTTTATGGCAAATTTGGTAGAGAATCTCCAAAGGGGGCCCCTCTAGAAAGCGAACGCACACGGCCCCTCCCCCCAACCGGTTTGGGAAGAATTCCTCAGAGAGAAGAGGAAAGAACCTGTTTATTTAACAGGCAGAGCACCCCCAGCACACAGAATGAACAATACTGGATGACACCGCTCTGAAAAAGGTGACAAATTCAGAAAGTCTCTCTTGGGGGTGGTTGCTCTGTTCTCAGTCCCTCCGGCACTGGGGCAGCTGCTGCAGCCACAAGGTGCAAACTCTCGGTGTTCCCAGGTCCCTGTCTGGAGCAGGTTTGAGATGGTCGAAAAAGAGGAGAGGACAAACAGTCCAGGAAGGAATTTGGACTGTATAGCTAAATTAGTTAATGAGCAGGAGCAAAAGCAAGCAGAAGCGAGAGCAGAGAGAGAGAGAGCGAAGCAAAAAGCAAAAGCAGCAAAATCAAGACCCGCAGTCTCTCTGTGTCCCGCCAGGCTGATAAGAATACCCAAACAAAACTTTCAGTCTTCAGAGCCAGTCTTAAAGGCACAGAACATGATATCCAGCATTAACAGAACACATGAATGGGGACATAAGCATCATAACGTCACCCTAGGACACCTTCGAAATCTGGTGCAGGAGCAGTTGGACCAGGGTCATCTGGAGACTTCTACCAGTCCCTGGAACACTCCTGTCTTCTGCATCAAGATAAAATACAGGAAATGGACGTTGTTACAAGGCCTTCAAAAGGTCAATGTCATGATGGAAAGCATGGGAACATTGCAGGCGGGCATGCCGTCGCCTACCATGCTTCCCGCAAACTGGCCAGTCCTCATCGTGGATCTGAAGGATTGTTTTTTGCAATTCCTTTGCATCCTGATGACAGACCAAAATTTGCCTTCTCGGTGCCAGCAATTAACAATGCTGAGCCCACACAGCAATATCAATGGAAAGTTTTGCACCAAGGAATGCCAAATTCTCCGGCCATAGGCCAATGGTATGTGGCCTGTGTCTTGTCTGGAGTTCACAAGCAGTTTTCTGATGCACGTCTGTATCATTATATGGACGACATTTTAGTGTCTGCATCCAGGACGAGCTGCTGAGGATTAAGCCTCAGTTGCTCAATGCTTTGTATTCTCATGGGCTGCAGGTGGCTCCAGAAAAGGTTCAACAACAACCTCCTTGGAAGTATTTGGGGGTCAAAATTCTGGAATAGACAATCCGACACCAGGAGGTGCAATTTGTACATTTGGTGAAGACACTGAATGATGCCCAGAAATTGGTAGGTGTCATCACTTGGTTACGTCCGTACTTGGGACTGACCAACACACAACTGTCTCCTCTGTATGATTTATGGAAAGGAGACAATGGTCCTGCTTATGCATCACAGAAGATGTGGCAGTTCCTGCAGTTGTGGGGTGTGTCACACAGGTTTGGTATCCCTCATGCTCTGACTGGTCAGGCTATTGTAGAAGATGCTTGTGGTACTCTGAAGCGGGTTCTTCAGAAACAAAAACGGGGAATGTAGGGTAAAACCCCACACAGTCAGTTGGCAAAAGCTTTGTACACCATCAATCATCTTACTGTGCCACAGAACTCAAAAAATCCTGTCATTCTGAATCATCACCTTTCGTTGCAGGCTCTGGACGAGACACGTCAGCCTCAAGCGAAGGTTCAGATGCGGAATTTAGTCACCAAACAGTGGGAAGGTCTCTATGACCTTATCACTTTGGGGCGTGGGTGTGCTTGTGTATCCACAGATACTGGGGTACCCTGGGTACCTTTGAAGTGTGTTCGTCCTGACCTGCGACTGCAGAGACAGAATCCAGCACACGGGCAAAATGGAAACCGTGACCAAACTGAAAGTCATCAAGTGGATGAATCGTTGAGTGATGACTCAGATACAGATGGTGTGAGTGATCACTCCGATGATTCCTCCATGAGTGTACACTGAATGTTGTTCATTTTTCCTTTTAACATTGTTCGTTTTTCTTTCTTTCTTTTTTTTTTTTAAATGGAAAAAGGGTGAGATGTCGCCCTGTTCTTTGAAGGTTCTTCTAAGCCTTCTGATGTTTACATTTTTGTAATGGAGTTTTTTATACACTTTCCATGTAAATAATGATTGTTTTGCAGTCCTTTCTGGAAGAGGAGAAAATTGGTGGACTGTTGGTTTGACCAGTGTGGTTGGAGAGGGGGCAATTTCATCCTCCAATCCATGGATGCTTTTGGAATTTTTAAATATCGAAGTCCAGAAAAAATTGTGCCTTTTTTGCCTTGGACATCTCAGGGTGTGAGTGTCGTTCATTTTGTGTCGTATTGCGACACCCTACCTCTCTAAGCAGCTGGATGCAGCAGCTAAGGGGTGGCCAGGACGCCCCAGAGCTGTTGTGGCAGTGGCAGTGAACATCCAGGAAGCACACAAGTTCACCCTGGGCCAGAAGATGACTGTGCTGGTGTCCCACACAGTGTCGGCAGTGCTGGAAGTAAAGGAGGGACATTGGCTCTCCCCACAGAGATTCCTGAAATACCAATCCATAATGGGGGAACAGGATGATGTAGAAACTGCAGTAACTAACACTGGGAACCCAGCTTCTTTCCTCAGTGCTTGTATGGGAGAAATGGTGTGTGACAGTGGTCACAAGGGTTGCAGGATGAAGAGAGAGGTGAGAATGTTGACCTCATGTTCAGAAGGCTTGATTTATTATTTTATGATATATATTACATTATGACTATACTAAAAAGAATAGAAAGAGAGTTCTCAGAAGGCTAGCTAAGCTAAGAATAGAAAAGGAATGAATAACAAAGGAGCTGTGTCCCGGCAGAAAGCGAGAACAGCTCTGCCGTGAGTAGCCAGTAAATCCAAACATCCACCAGAGACCAATCATGGATCCACCTGTTGCATTCCACAGCAGCAGATAACCATTGTTTACATTTTTTGCTGAAACTTTTGAGCTTCAGCAGGAAAAATCCTAACGAAAGGATTTTAATGAAAAGAGGTCTGTGACATGTCAGTTTTTTAATTTAGTTAATTAAAAAGTGTTTGTAATTTTCTCTGCTGTGCAGAGAAAATTATTGTGGTTATATGTTGCCAATCAAAACTTCACTCAAGTGCTGGTGTGGAATGAACAGGGAATTTCTTCACCTGTAGAACATACAATTCTATCAAATCACCAAAACAATTTTACAATATAAGAAAATGCAAAACCAATGCAAAGAAAGTTCAAGCCCAAACAGCTGAGTTTCAGGAAAAAGTCCATGGACTGAAGATGTTGCTCTTTGCCATCTCTGAAAGTCCCTTTTGGTCCTGAAACAGGCTTGCTGCAGAAAAGTCCATCAATAGTTATCAAAAGCCATTGACAGTCATCAAACAATTTCAAACAATTTGAGACAACTTCTGGAATGTCCTGCCACAGCCCTTTATTGAATAACTTTGGGCTGAAGCTAATTTTTGGCCCTTCAATGCTTCAGAGCTGCTGCCAGCTATTTCAAGTTTGTTTTTTTTTTTTTTTTTTTTTTTTGTTTTTTTTTTTTTTGTGTGTGTGTTCAAAAAGAGCAGCAGCAGCAGAGCAGCCAAAGAAAGTCCCTGGGGGACCCTGGCCCATGTGGAGGGATCAGGAACCCCAGATCTGGCCCACAGAAAGGCGGGCCAGGACCGATAGGGAGAAGCAAAACCACCAAACCCATCAGGAGGCCGGGAGGTGGCCCTGGCCCAGGGACCCGAGCCCAACAGCCCAGGCCCAACATGGCAGGCGGGCTCTGCCTTCCCACAGCCTGGCCCCGCACTGCCAATGGAATGGTGACCAAACGCTTCTTTTCCCCAGAATCACCAAGGCATGCCAGCAGCAGGGAAATAGAAGAAGCCCCAAGAACCCTCATCTCGTGTCTAGGAATGTTTTTTCTCCACAGCAAACAAGCCATGATCGCTTCCCGCTGCGCCCTCTGCAATGCAAATGCAACGGGTGTGTCTCCCATCTGCCTCACGGCACCACCCCCTCTGGGCTGGGGACCAAAGGCAGAACTCTCGGCACCCACCTGCCCCTCGCTGCTGGGGCGCGAGAGGGGCGGCAGAGAGATTTGCAACCCCCCCCCAAGGGAAAGCAACTGACCAAACACCCCCAACCCGCCAAGAACGCTGATTTTGAACGCAGGCAGACGGGCTGCACCCACAGCCATCTGTCGGGCCATGCCTCCTCCACGGAAAGGGAGGCCGGCGCCCTCTTCCCCTGTCCCAGCTTCCCCCGCAGGGGCAGGCCCGGGACAGCCCGAAAAACTTGGGGGGGAAACCACGCTGGGTGCAGGAGCAGCTGCGGGCTGCTCCGAGGGTCCTGTGGGTTCGGCGCCGTCTTCAGCATCATCCTGAACAGGCACTGGCTCGGTTTGAGGCGGCGGGGCCGGAGAGGGCGCTGGTGGACGCAGCAGGACAGCCGGGGGGGCGGTGCCGAGTCGCTGTTGTCGCCGAGGGCGTCTCCTACCTACAGCGACGCAGCCGCAGGGAGCGGTGTTTCTGAGCTCTCAGGCGCAGGCGTGGAAGCCGGTGAAGCCACGGGCAGGACACCCGGGGAGGCGGCCGCGGGGCGGATCCAGGAGGAGGCCCTGCAGGCCTGGCAGGCGGGACTCGGAGACCGGTGCTGCCCCCATCTCTGAGCGGGGCAGGGCCCAGGAGGCCGGCCAGGGCGGGGCCTGCAGGGCTGTAAGGGGCGGTGCAGCCCACTCCTATCCCCCCGGAGAGAGAGAAGGGGGGGAAGGGATGGCTGCATGTGAGCATGCTGCGAAGACGCAGCAAAAAAAACTTTGGCTCCTGGCGAAACTTCCCCCCCACTGCCGGGATGCAGGGGGGCTGGGAAGCAACAGATCATCCCCCTCCAAAGGATCTTCTCCCGCTGGAGTCAGAGGAAATGGGACGAGCCCGTTGCAGTTGGCAATCCAGGGAAAAACAGCTGCTCTTCGGTTCAAAACTGGAAAGAACATCCTAAATGCTGGATAAATCTGGGGGTATCCAAACCCACGGTCCAAAACGAATTGGAAAATGGAGTCCATGCACTCCCATAAGAAAGCATCAAGGGCACAGAGCACATTCATAAAGAACCCAAAAACTTTGCCCATTGAAAAAACTCACAGAAATCTGTCTCCAACAGGCAAAGTCCATCCTCTTCACCCCATTTTTGACAGAGGGCAATAAGTTTCTCCTCTAAAGGGGAGAACCGAACCTCCTCCTCTATGGGGGAAGCCCTCCACATCAGCAGCCACAAACTACGAAGGGCCACATCTTCAGGAAGGGAAAAGCCAACAGTACCTTTTGAAAGAGTCCAGCGTGCTCTGGCCAGCTCCATTGCGCTACTGTGCTTTCCAAACATCTTCCTGGAGGCTTTTCAGAAGGTTCTCTTTGTGGTCAGCCTTGCTGTGAACTCCAAATCAGGATCTTCAGTTCTTCAGCTCCTGGCTAGAATCCACTTCTGTGGTCACTTGTGAAGCAACCATCAATGCCACACATTCGGGGTTTACCCAGTGCAGCAATTGTTCCTCTGGGGGTCTCTCCAAGTAATTTGCTCTTCAGACGAGGGGTCACCAATTGATGGTTTTGTCCTCTTCACTTACTCAGGGTTCACCAATAGTCACAGTGGTCACATGGGTCTTCAGGGTGTAAAGAGAGACGAGAATGTTGACCTCATGTTCAGAAGGCTTGAATTATTATTTTATGATATATATTACATTATTACTATACTACAAATAATAGAAGGAAAAGTTCTCAGAAGGCTAGCTAAGCTAAGAATAGAAAAGAATGAATAACAAAGGTCTGTGCCCCGGCAGAAAGCGAGAGCAGCTCTGCCAGGAATGGTCAGTAAATCCAAACATCCACAGGAGACCAATCACGGATGCACCTGTTGCATTCCCCAGCAGCAGATAACCATTGTTTACACTTTGTTGCTGAGGCCACAGCTTCTCAGAAGGGAGAAAAATCCTAAAGAAAGGATTTTTATGAAAAGATGTCTGTGACACCCCACCTATCTCTCTAACCCTCAGATGCCTTGCCTACCTTTTTGCCGTGGATCTTGTCCTCTGAGAGTTCTGTCGTTGTCCTGGTGTGAGGGTTGCTGTCCTGTCCCACCGGGAGGGTTCCGCTCTGGTCTCGCTGTCAGGGTTGCTGTGTTGTGCTGCTGTTGGGGGGAAAAGGCTGTGCTGTTGTTAGGAGGGCTGCTTAGGCTGAGGTGAGGGCTGGGCTGAGGGCTGGTGCACCTGTACCCTAACTTGCCTCCTAAGCTGTTCCCTGTAGCCCTGATCTCCAGTGCACTGTGCAGCCCTCAAGCCTTCTCCCTTGACCCCTCAAGCCCTCCCTCAACCCCTCAGGCTCTGTCTGTCACCCTCAAGCCCCCCTATGCCCCTCAAGGCCCCTCTCAGCTGCCCCTCAGCTCCTGTGTGTCACCCTTAATCCCTCTCCTTTGCCTCTCAGCCCCCAGCTTCTCAGTGTCACCCTCCATCTGCCCCTGCCACCCTCAGCATCTCTGGATGTCACCCACTGTCCCCTCTCCCTGCTCCTCCCTCAGCTCCCAGCCTCTGCCACCCTCCAGCCCCCACAGTACCCCTCAAGCTGCCCCTCAGCCTCTGTCATGCCCTGAAAGGACCCTAAAAAACCCTCTCAAATCCCTAAAAAAGGCATAGTTTTCAAAGTGTCCTAAACACCCCACAAAAACAAAAAATATCCTCAGAATACACTAAAAACACCCTACTTTTAAAAAGCCCCTAAAACACCTCTAAAAATCTCCAAAGAACCTTTTGGGACTACTTAGAGATTTTTTAAAGAGCTCTGAGAATACCCCTAAAATCTTGAAAATGCCCTGTAAGACCCTAAAAAAGCCTGTAAAATTCCCCCAAAACCCCTAGAAATACCCTAGTCTTAAAAAAAGTTCTCCATTTACCCTCATACTCTTCACGAAGCCCTAAAACCTTTTAAGTAGTCCTTAAAAAGCCCCCAAAATATCTGCAAACACCCCTAACAATTCCAATTAGTGGTAAGACATCCCTTAAAACACCCTAAAATGTTTTTTTAAAAGCCCTGAAAAAGCCTTAAAGGTTCCTAAACATTCCCAGAGAATTCCTAAAAAACTCCTGCAAAAAAACCCCCTAAAATATCCTTAAAAATCCCTGCAAAAAAACCTAATAAAACCCCTAAACGTCTGTTCAACTCTTACCTGTAACTCTGTGGCCTCCAAACCTCATCTCTACCTTCCAATCGGGGTAACTGCCTGCACCTGCTGGGAGGGCTCTGGGGCTGTCCCACCGTGAAGGTGGCACCTGTGCCCTAACGCTGCCTGGTACCCCGTGTCCTTTGCACCCCAACCCTCAGGGTCAGCTGTCCAGCTGTCAAGCCCCCCCATCTCTGCCCCTCAGCAATGTCTGTGTCTCCCAGAGCCGTGTCCAGGATCCCACGTGCTGCCGCAGGGAGTCACCGGTGGGCAGTGGGGGAAGTGAGGGACGGGGCAGGGGCGACGTGGATTTCAGAACCCCAGCAGACGGCCGGGCACTCAGCACCACAGGCACCCGAACACCAACGCCACCATTGTTCCTTGCCCACAAAACTCATCAGGCCAGGTTCCTGATGGCAGATTGCAGGAGCTACTTGGCACTGTCAAACCAACCCTGCCAGCTTTAATCTGGGAGGCATCCTGCGCAATGTGGGATTTCAGCAGCCAGCTGACCACTCCGGGACACAGGCCCCTGAACAGCAATGCCAGCCCATTTCCCTGGAAACAAAACTCACCTGGCCAGGTCCCTGATGGCAGATTGAAGGAGATACTTGGCACTGCTAAACCACCCTTCCTCCTGCAGGGCCATTCAGCTCCCTTCTCTGTCCAAGGCCCGGCTCCCCTCACCCGGCCGCATGGCTTCCCCTCCCACACCCAGCCCGCAGCCGGGCAGGGCAGCTCTGAACCTTCCACCCACCGGAACCAAGAGAGCTTCCCCTAGGAGTTCTCCGCTTTTAACCCCCTGTGTGCTCAGAGGTGAATCCATGTCCTATGGGGCCACACCAGGGGCCAGTATTCAAATCTGAGCACAGATTGGTTTGACCACAGCATCCTAAAAAACTCACTTCCTTTTCAAACCAGGACAGCGGGACCAAGGGATCCGACCAGTAAATCCTGAACGAGCTCAGTAACCCAAAAAATGGGGGTTAAATGTGAAATGAGCGGCTCTGATTGGCTGGTCCAGCACAGCCCGCGTCTCCCCATCCCGACCCCCACCTGCCCAGCGCCCCAAGGTTCCCCCGGCCAAAAAACCCCCAGCCCGGGGCTGCAGCGTCCCGGAAAGGCCTCAGCCAATGGCAGCGCAGGCAGGAGGCGGTGCAGCCAATGAGCGGTCGGTGCGTTGGATTGCCTCATCGGTTGTAGGGCAGAGCCCGTGGCCGGTCGCTGCCCAGAAGCGGCGGCAGCCAATGAGAGCGCGCGGCGCTGCCGAGCCCGCCCTGCTCCGGACTGGCGCTCCCAGCGCAGCGCGGCTGCTTTGGTGCTGCTGCTCCCTGCCCGGCCCCGGCCATGGGGCGAGGGGCGGCAGCTGGGGCCCTGCTGGTGGCACTGGTGGTGCTGGGAGCCCCCCCGGCTGCGGGCGCGGAGCTCTCGGGTGAGCGGGGGGCGGGAGGCGCTGGAACAGGGGGGGAGAAGGGGGAAAAAGGGGGCGAAGTGGGGAGGCCGGAATGGAGGGCGAGGAGGAGGGGACCCCCAAAGGGAGAGCGGGGTGGGGGGAGGGGTGGGGAGGGGGAGGTGGGAGAGGGTGGGGAAGGGGGGAAAAGGGGACGGGATGACCCCAAACTGACCCCGAGGAGGCCGGAGATTGGGGGATTTGTGGGGAAATGGGGCCATAAAAGTGATTTGGGAGTGGCTGCATGTCGGAGGGGAGCGGCTGTGAAAGGGGAAATGGGGGAAGGGCTGCAAAGAGGAAGCGGCAGGGGGGGCAGGAGCGTCCCGTGGCGGCCGTGGGGCACAGGGGGTGCGGAGTGGGGATCCGGGGTGGCTCCCGGAGCTCTGGGGGTGCTGCTGGGGGGTGCTGAGGGGGGCACATCCCTGAGCTGTGTGCTGCACTCACAGGGATGTTCCAGTAGATGCATAAGGCCGATTGTCTCTTCATTAAGGGCACTGAGAAGGTGAGGTTGGTGCTGAGGTTCATCTACAACCGGGAGCAGTTCCTGACGTTCGACAGCGACGTTGGGCACTTTGTGGGGTTCACCCCCTTAGGGGAGAAGAATGTCAAGAAGTAGAACAGCGACCCGGCTATAATGGAGTTCATGCGGGCTCACGTGGACAGGTGCCGGCACAACTACGAGATTGCTGCCCCGATCACTGTGGAGCGCCGAGGTGAGCGCGGGGCAGAGCGTGTCCCCTCGGGCCCTGCCCTCCCAATGACCCTGGAGCCTCTCAAAACCTCCCCAAGAATCGCCCCAGAGCTCTCAGCCCTCCTTGTGCCCATCCCCGGGGCCTCCTGTTCCCCCATTCCCTCCCAGTGCCTCCCAGTACTCCCTCCCGCGTCCATTTCAGCGACGCATTAAGCTGACGCTTCCCAGCCAATGAGATCGCGCACCGCTGATGACTCATCTGTTCCTTGGTAGATCCCCAGCGCCGAGTGCCCCGCGCTGGACGCGGCCGCTCAGTGCCGCG